ATATGTGTGTGTGTGTGTGTGTGTGTGTGTGTGTGTGTGTGTGTGTGTGTGATTATTATTATGCAGTATTTTAGTTGGCAACCTCCCGCATCCGAGCATCGGGGTCGTCATCCTCTCTCCGTATTCCCATTCTCACCCTGGTGGCTGTGACGGAGTTGGCTTAAAAGGCTCCGCATATTACTGAAGAGTCATGAGTAGGAATTACAGAGGAATGTTGGTGGTGGAAGCGAGTTGTGGATTCGAACCCTCCTGACTGCAAGTTGAACATCCACTCCAAATTGACGGTTGAACTCAAAAGTCTCGATTCCCCACTTTAACAGTCGCCGGATGATCCTACGTCTGGAAGGTAGATTTGCTACAAAGGTTTTCCAGTTCTGTGGTTGGATGTTGGAATCCATGTCAGGAATGTCTCCAACTGATCCTTGAACGTTAGTTTTGGTCTCTTGCCGTTGGCGATCTTTCCAAACAGGTTGGTATGTGAGAGCCGAGTGGGAAGCATTCAGACACTTGACCCGCCCAGCGGAGGGGCTACTGAAAGATGGTAGTTTAGATTCTGTAAAGAGGTGTTCGAGAAAGAAACTTGTTCGTGATGCGCTCTTCCCAACTGCTTCGAAGGATTCTTCAGAGATTCGTTTACTGGAACCGCTCCAGACGTTTAATATCCCAAGGTTATAAATCCATTTTTCATAAACGTGCTCGATGGCGGAGAGTACCACAATACGGAACACCAAGACTTTGGTTCTTATCGTGAGACCGTGATAGGAAATACGACAAAAACAGTGGGGATTCTATAACAGCATTAACGACAGGCTCGATGTTGGTCAGTGTCTTGCATGTCTTCAAACGATCCTTGAAGCGTGGTTTTTTTTTTGCTTCTGTGTAGGTTCTTGTCACTGGCGAATTCTCAAGCAATATGATACGAGGAAGTCGAGTCAGACGCATTCTGGACACGTCACCCGCCCTACAGAAGCGATGTTGAAAGATGGTATCCTCGATGCTGTGGGGTGATCTCCGAGAGAGGAACTTGTTACTGGTAATGGACTGCTCCCAACTGATTCGAAGGATTGGTCAGAGTTTCGTTTGATTGAACCGCTCTAGACGTTTCATATCCCGACGATAGAAAGTCCATGTTTCCCAAACGTACAGAGGGCAGAGAGTACCACAGCCCGGAAGACCAAGAATTGGGTTCTTATGGTAATAGAAAATTGGACAAGAACATTGGGGATTCTTTAACAACATTAACAACAGGGTTGATGTTGGTCAGTTTCTTGGGCAAAAAGGGCGGAGAATATCACAGCCCGGAAGACCAAGATTCCAAGATTTTGGCTCTTATGGTGAGGTTTTAATTGTTCCCTACGAGAGCGTTTCATACGCAGTATGATTCGTTTAGTACCTATTCTTAAGGTGTCTTTCGCAGGTGCTATATATATATATATATATATATATATGTGTGTGTGTGTGTGTGTGTGTGTGTTAGCAGCATGGCCCCGCGTTGCCCTTGCTTGATTCAAAAATCGTACGACTCATACAGCAATCGCTATCACTTGACTTAAAATATTTTTGCCCTTCCTTGCCTTTAAAGGAGTGCCCTTTGCCGTGCTGATGTTGCTACATGCCTTACTTCTTGCCTATCTCACACTGCGAATGTTTTCTAAGCTCTATACTAAACATTAAATCTGTTACGAAAAAAGAACTAAACAAAATGAACACAAAACGATAAGCTTTAAAAAAGGACTCGTAACTTGAAAAACCGAATGAAAAAAGAATGTTAACAACAAATACATTTTCACATCCAACCCAGTTCTGCGGAATCAGAATCAGCGTTGAGTTTAAGCAAGCGAATGAGCCAATTGGAGTAAAGTACCGTGCAGATTTAAATTTTTCCCATCTGTGACGAATGCAGCTATCAATTTTTTTTTGTATGCTAGCATGCTAGGTAAATTTCGTGTCAGTCAGCTGTTGGCTCTCACGCTGTTCAATAGAATCTTCATGCCTATTCGTGGCAGCCAGCTATTGATTCTCACTCTGGCCAGTAGAAAATGGCCGCAAACTACATGAAAACTGCCGTAGAAGCATGAAAAAAATCGATTATTTCCACTAACTTGGAGCTTGAGCATGTCAATTTTGTTGCAAATCCGTCGAAAATTTTGAGCGTGCATTCGTTACGCAGACACACATATCCTGCTTTATATATATATATATATATATATATATATATATATATATATATATATATATATATATATTCTCCCCTGGTTAGCGATTTTCAAAAAACAACATAGGGAGATTGTATCTCTAACGAATTAAATAATATTTATGTTGGTCACACCACAAACTCGCTTTCACGACGCTTGACACTACATTTGAATGAAAACTCTAATATTTTTAGGCATTTAAAACAACATGCCTGGCCGCACGCACAATTCCGTAAAACCCTTGTCGAAAACACAACTATGCTTAAACATGAAAACAATAAACAAAAACTAAAAATTCTTGAAGCTATATACATAAAACAGTTAAAACCTAACCTGAACAAAATAAACGATGAAATCTCCACAAATATTCTTAAATGTCTATAATTGGTAACAGAAGCCATTGGTTTATAACAACGGCTTCCCATACTTAATACTTCTTGAATTCACTCCCGCGTGGACATGTGTGACGTCATGGGATGCGGTTTGATTTTCGCTTCCATCGTCTGATATGCACGTGTTTATCGTTGCTTAGAAATCATCCATGTAAACAGAAACAGACTAGCATCACATTCTTGTCCGCGTATTGCTTAATATATTGTACAGTAAGTGTCATCTTTGATAATGGCTTATGTAAGCCGAAAGCTTAGATTGGATTAAAAAAATATGTATCACAATTGTGATTTTCTTTCTTTGTTTAATAATAATTTTATTAAGCTTATCAGACGTTATGAAAAGAATTTACATAAAATAGACAACACTTGTCTATATTATTTAATGAAACATGTCTGAATATATATATATATATACTACAAAATAGCAATTATAAAGAATCTAATACATCGTGCAGAAACTAATTCATCCACAAAACAGATTTTTTACAGTGGACTAAAGAATATAAAACAGACACTTACTAATAATAGCTTTCCAAATTATATAATTGATGAACAAATCAGATGCTTTCTTAGAAATCTCAATACTAAGCAAATTGTACACAATACTGCTTCTACTGAATACTCTTAAATGTCTATAATTGGTAACAGAAGCCATTGGTTTATACCAACGGCTTTCTATACTTCATACTTCTACAATTCACTCTCGTGTGATCATGTGTGACGTCATGAGATGCGGTGAGATTTTCCCTTCTAGCGTCTTCTATGCACGTGTTTATCGTTGCTTAGAAATTATCTATGTAAACAATGACAGACTATCATCACTGTCTTGTCCGTATATTGCTTAATATGTTGTAACTGACATCATTGAATAATGGTTTATGTAAGTCGAAAGCTTAGATTGTATTAAAAAATATGGATCAATATTGTGAATTTTTCTTCGTTCAACGATAATGTTATTAAACTTTATCAGACGTTACGAAAAAAATTTACATAAAATAAATAGACAGCACTTGTCTATATTATTTAATGAAACGTATATATATATATATATATATATATATATATATATATATATGAAATAATTTTTTAACCCGTTTCTGTAGTCTAAATGTGTTTTTACCAATTCGACTATGGAAATCGCGTTTTCAGAGCAAGATTGAATTACCTAATTAAAGGATAATCTTTTCTTAGTAAAATTTCTCAATCTAGACCGATTGTTATTAATATCACTGTTAAACAAAGCTGCTCAAATACAAATAACCACAAAAATTCGAGTAACCACGTATATAGTAATAAAGAAATAACGTCGGATAAGAAATCCAATTAAAAAATTACTAGCAGATCTAGAAAGTAGCAGATCATATAAACCTCGATGGTTAAAGAAATGCTTTCCTTAAATAGAGGATTCAAACGTTGCTCGATCAGCGCGGTCTCTGTGGCCGAATTGGTAATTGAATACTTCGGCGATAGAAAGAGGTTTTATGAAGGAAAAGCGGGTATAGATTGAACTTTCTTTCGTGAGACTACTTAATCTAGGCCGATTATTATAAATTACACTATTTCAAGTAAAATAAAAACAATCTTAACAACTCAAGTACGTACACATATTAAAATAGCATTTATTTTTATTAAGCAATAAATATATAAAGGAATATAATTAGGACACTTAAATAAATCTATACTTTTTAAATTTTTTTTTACCCAGTAGAGGACCAAAGAGCAGCCCCAGGTAGTCGGTTACTAAATGAAGAAGGGTAATGTTTATAATATGAGGACATGTAATACAGATATGGGTTGATCGTTGACTTGAAGAAGGTAAAATTGTATTGGTCAGGAATGATCTATTCTGTGACAGTTCTGGGAAAATAATATTCACAGATAATATTATGTAAATCCTTCAAGTGTAGGAGGCATTCATGTTGGCATTGAAACAAGAAATACCTTTTGTCAAGTCTTGAACACTGAAACTAGTCGCTACAAAGCCACTAAACAAGAACAATATACGTGTGTGTGTGTGTGTTATTAGTAGTAGTAGCAGCATTATTAATGGCACAACCGGTGCTTGAGTGCAGCGTAGCCAAGGTGGACCTTAACAGACCAAGCATCCGTCAGTCGGGACGGGGAGGTAAACTGGCCCTGAACCTGTTTGTACGGGTTCAATGGGCATATTTTTGGCCGAGCCCATGGGCTCGGAATGCGCATGTTAAAAAAGCCTTGTGCCACATGACACCCTCGTGGGGGGTGACTCAATATCTCAGTCCAGGCATCCGTAAACCAGATTTGCCAGATCTCCCCTGCCTCAGTTCACTTTGAGCCGCGAGGGTAGTGCTTCTGGCCAAGCGTGTGGAATTCTCTGTCGGGCAGCTTTGGCCACCAAAATCAAATTCAGGCCAATGGTCAAGTCAAACTCTATTTAATTCCCAGCTATCTCTGTCACCCCCATCAGGGAAGTGTTGAGAGTGAAGTGAAGAAGAAGAAGAAGAAGAAGAAGAAAAGGAAGATTTGATGTTAAATAAGAAAAGAGGAAGAGAAAAAGAGAAAGATAGATGGAGTAGGAGAATGGGGTGGAAGAAGAAGAAGAAGAAGAAGAAGAAGAAGAAGAAGAAGAAGAAGAAGAAGAAGAAGAATAGATGGGGTATGGGGATGTGGAGAAAGAAGTAGAGGTAAGGTTAAAAAGACGAAGTGAAAGAAGAAAAGTGACGAGGGTGAAATGAAGAAGAAGTGGCAGTAGGAGTAGAACAGAAAAATAATAAAGAACAAAATTTTCAACAGCAACAATAGCAACAGAAGAAGAAGAAGTAGAAGAAGAAGGAAAAGAAGAAGAAGAAGAAAAAGAGTAGAAAGAAAGTAGAAGAGTTGAGGTTAAAAAAAGAAGAGAAAAGTAGATGGATTTAGAGGATGAGGTGGAAGTAGAGGAGATATAGCGAAAACGTAGAAGGGCAAAAGGAAAAAGAGTTGTTAAGTGGAGAAGAAGAAGAAGAAGAAGAAGAAGAAGAAAAAGAAGTAGAAGGTTAAAGTGAAAAAGAAGAAAAAGAAAGAGAATTGTGAAGTGAAGAAGAAGCATAGGAAGAAACAGAAGCTTTATGGGAATGTTCTATACTGAATTCCAGAAAAAAAAAAGAAATATAGAAAGTATATACTGATTTACTTTTGAAACTATATGAATTTCAGAAATATCCCAGTTTAATTGGTAGACTTTATATGACTTGGTACTTTTAAAAAAAAAATATCCTAAAATCAATATTTATGCAACTCGTCATATTCTCATTATTATCGCCAACTGCTCTCACGCCTCTCGTTAAAGAAAACAAGACACCAATTAATTTTTCCAAGAATGGAGCCAGCGAGCAGACAGCACACATGAGGCGTGAGCATACTACATTTCAATGATATATAGAAGCTGAATGGGTTAAAAGAAAATGTCGCGATTTTATGGCTTCCACGTGTCTGCCATTCAGTGAGAATTTAAGCGTGAGTTGTATGCATATATGCTATATTTACATTTATTTAATCAGATTTCTCATCTGACAAATTTGGATAGAACTTTCTTATGTTAATTAAATTTACTTTAACTCATGAATAATCACCGCTTAATTTCTTATATGCCGGCTTTACATTTATAATCAATAGAGAAGTGTATGGTGCACATTAATGGGATTTAGTTAGAAACCTCTAATTATATGGGATGATTTTAATAAGACTAAGCATATTAGGGGACGTTTTATAGACCTGCTATTTTTACCGGAATTTTTATTTTAATTTTTACCATTGATGCCGGCTTTTAGATGGATAATTACAGATTATATATTTTTTATTCCTTAGGTTTGGTAGGAGTGGCCGCTTTTCTATTTTGAATTATTTTTTGAGTCTTTTGTTTCGCATTGAATATTAAAGTATTAGGTTATTGGATGAGCTTGAATATATTTTCAGTGTATTTCTCCTCTTCGTGTATATAGTTATGTAGAATTTAGATTTCATTTTGTTGTGTTGTTAAGAATAGAAATTATAAAATAAATGCCTTGCTGCTTCTTGCTTTTCAGCTTGTTAGAAATCCTCTTCTGTAATCTCAGCTTTAAGAACTCATGAGAACCATCTGGTCCTTCTAACTATCGGATTCTTAACCTTCTACCTCAGTTTGACAAAGTACTCGAGTCTCTAATAAATGCTGAATTGGTTAAGCATTTCACCTCGTATGGTTTTCTTTCATATAAGCAATACGCCTTTCGCTTCTCTAAGTTAACTGCTGATGTATTAACGATTAATGCTGTTAAATAAATAAGAATGCTGAATTTTGATCTGTTGCTTTGGATACATGAAAAGGCATTTGACAAAGTTTGGTATGATACCCTCATTTAAAAGCCAAACGATTGTTATATTTCTGGAAGAATTTGTTAATTGATTCAGTCTTTCTTATTAACAAACTAGCAGCATGGCCCGGCGTTGCCCGTGCTTGATTCAAAAATCGTACGACTCATATAGCAAACGCTATCACTTGACTTAAAATACTTTTGCCCTTCCTTGTCTTTAAGGGAGTGCCCTTTGCCGTGCTGATGTTGCTACATGCTTTACTTCTTGCCTATCTCACACTGCGATTTTTTTCTAAGCTCTATACTAAACATTAAATCTGTACGAAAAAAGAACTAAACAAAATGAACACAAAACGATCAGCTTTAAAAAAGGACTCGTAACTGGAAAAAGCAAATGAAAAAATGTTAACAACAAATACTTTTTCACACCCAACCCGGTTCTGCGGAATCAGAATCAACGTTGAGTTTAAGCAAGTGAATGAGCCAATTGGAGTAAAGTGCCGTGCAGATTTAAATTTTTCACACTTGTGACGAATGCAACTATCGATTTTTTTTGCATGCTAGCATGCTAGTTAACATTGGTGTCAGTCAGCTGTTGGCTCTCACGCTGGCCAATAGAATCTTCTTGCCTATTCGTGGCAGCCAGCTATAGACTTCACTCTGGCCAGTGCAAAATGGCCGCAAACTACATGAAAATTGCCGTAGAAGTATGAAAAAATCGATTATTTCCACTATCGAAGGGGGTTGGGAAATGCAAAGTCGGTCTTGGCCTTGCCACTAACTTGGAGCATGTGTATGTAAATTTTGGTGCAAATCCGTCGAAAATTGCGGCTGGGCATTCGTTACACACACACACACACACACACACACACCCTTCTATCACGATGACCGATGCTAAACTCTAGATAAGTAACCCATTACGCCTTATGAACTTAACGTTTTCTGCTACCGTGAAGTGGAAGGATTATATTGAATTAATTGCAACGTATGCAGCGAGGAATGTTGGTTCACTGTGTCGGATTAGACAGTTCTTATCGACAGAAGATTTTACATCATTATAAGTCTACCATTCGTTCTTGCTTTGAATATTACTACTTCATCTGGTCTAATGCTTCTGCTATATATTTAGAGATTCTTGATAAAATCCAAAAGAAGAACCTTCAATTTTATTGGTCATAACCTGGCATCTCTGCTTCAGTCACTTTCCCAACGCCGTATTGTATTATCCCTGTGCCTTTTTCTATAAATGATTCCATGGTACTTGTGATGAACTTACCTCTATGATACCTAGCCTTTATAAACTTAAGTACAGTATTAAATTGGTGGCATGGTCTCATTATTTTACAGTTGAAATGGCGAGATATAAGCGTAAATTCTATGCAAAAAGTTCCTTCTATCTCATTTATCGCTGGTGGAACTGTCTTCCGGCTTCTTGCTTCCGAGAAAACTTTGATCTTTAAAAATTTAAATGCAATGTCAACCGTTAACTTCTGTCTTCTTAATTCTTGTTCTTTTATTGTTTTCTCTCCTTAATAGAGTTTTTTTCTCATATTTTGTAACACTCAGTAAGCCCTTGCGTCTTAGTGACTTTATTAACTTGCTTGGGGTGAAATGATTCAAAAAAATCATCCTTGCATTTAATATTGCTGTTACATTTGATCCGGTACTTCTATATATTTAGAGATTCTTGACAAAATACAAAAAAGAATCTGCAATGTTATCGGTTCGAGCTTAGTATCTCGGCTTCACTCCCTTTTCCACCGCCATAACGTAACTTCTCTATTAATTTACTTTAAATAATTTCCTGGTTGATTCCTATACTTTATGCATTTCAGCGTACTACTAGATTGTCAGTAGGGTTTCATCATTTTACACGTGAAATAGCTAGATGTAACCGTAAGTTCTATGTCAATAGTTTCTTCTATTGTACTTAATGCTTGAGAAACTATTTTCTAGCTTCTTGCTACCCAATTAACTTTGATCATCAAAAAATTTAATGCAATGTCAATCGTTATCTTCTGTCTTCTTAATTGCTATTCATTTATTGTTCTTTCTCCTTAATGTGTGTTTGTCTCACATACTCCCACCCTCAGTAACCCTTGCTTCTTAGTGACTTTATTGCCTTTCTTCGGGTGAAATGATGACAAAACATTCTCTTTTAGTGCATCTTTTTCTTGTACTTCTACTATATTGGCGAATATGGCTCTCCAACTGTCACCTAACATTAATCATTCTCATTTTTTCTAGGTCTGCTGTCCATTCATAAAATTTTGTAAGTATCTTCTTCCCTCTTTACTCAGAATTTTCTTGCTTTCAATATATTCTGTGCGTGTTAATTTTTTCTAACAAACTTTTCTTATTATCTATTCCAGAATGTTCAGCTCTTTCTGATTGTGTGTATACATTTAATTGTAGCTCTCCGTCCTGGGTATCACGATAAACTACATCCAGCAACAAGGCCTCTGTTCGGGAGTCTTTGTAGAGCGTAGAAATATCTCATAATTGCTGTTGTTCCGACGTCCACCTTGACCCGGGGTGGTAGCACCTCTTAGGATCCTAACTATGGGCAAATATTTAACCGACCAACTGGTGCCAAAGCCCGATGAAATTATAAACATTTTTATATCGAAAATTACATTCTGAGAGAAAAAATAAAAAGTTACCAGAAAGAGTTTATTGTAAAAATTAAATTCAAAAAATAAATAAATAAAATAAAATAAATAAAAATTGGTAGCAATAAATTTTGTGTAAAACAATAAATTAAAAATCAAACTTACAAGTAATACATTTTTGTGAAAAAATAAAAATACATATCTCTAAGTCAAAGGAATATTACAAGCAATGTATTTTTGTAAAAGAAATTACGAATGCTGCCAAGAAAATTAAATTTTGGCATGAAATGACACATAAGGGATTGATATGCAGCTAAACAAGCAAACAGCCATATTGGATATTAGATATCAATTCAGTAGAGTTTCATTTGTTTTCTAAGGCGATTTTTCTATGTCCTCGTATTTTTCTCGTGAACACCAGTCGTTATAGGAAGAGGTAAGACTAGTTTTATGGATCCTTTACGACAATCCTTCAGGACAATCCGCAATGGGAAATTTAGTCTCTGTTATAAGGGTAAAGTTTTATTTTATTTTTTCTTACAGAATGGCAATGATTTCTCTAAATATTAATGGAATTCCTGAAGGACTAAGAATATATAAACTATCTTCAAAGACAAACTTAGATTGTATGATTATATTTTTACATTGTCTCTATAAGAAGTAGACATTGTCTTTGTGACTTCAGAATACTTGGTCATATCTATCGCATTTTTTCTTCTTCTTTTTCCTTTTTTGTAGCTCTCCACAACATCCTATCTTTTGCAGCACTTAATAAAGTTTCTCTTTTCACCATCTCCCCCCACCCAGTATCTGTTCTGCCATATAATTGCACAAGATATTTTCGTATGATACTTTCTGTTTTACGCCTCTTTCTCGCCTTCAAAGACAAGACTGAGAAGAATAACTCTATTGTGACTATCAAATTCGCCAAGTCCTCTTTCCACCTTATCTCTATCTATAAAAGGCGGGACATGTATGTGTGGGTGTGTAACGAATGCATGGTCGCAACTCTCGACGGATTTGCACCAAAATTGACATGCACATGCTCCAAGTTAGCGGGAAAACCAAGACCGACTTTGCATTCCCCAACTCCCATCGATAGTAGAAATAATCGATTTTTCATGCTTCTACGGCGGTTTTCATGT